ATATTACCTAAATAAACAGGAAGTACATTGTAAGCAACTTTCAAAGTTTTAGAATTGATAGACATCTCACTGCCTGGACTGCCTGAAGAAGAAGAATCTGTGTACCATTGGGGCATCCCTCTTTAGCCTACAGGCCCATAGTGTCCAGCAGACTTCCATAAAGAAGGAAATCTGAAGATCTGTTTTGCCTTGTAATGACAAAGTTCATCAGTTGCTTTCTTTTGTGTCCTGCAGAATGTCTGGCAGTTTCTTTCATGAAGTAGGAACCCTGAAGCACCATCTCACCTTCTTTAGGCAAGTTCAGTAGTCATTTTTCTGTTGTGGTCTAGTCCTAACATAAATCATTTTTTACCATTGTATCTGTGTGGGAATATTAAAGGCACAATTCACATGACAGTATCAGGAGGTAGTTTCAGTAATCACTCAAATCCTGAAATCACCTGCGTTTATTTTTCAAACAGCTTTTATATCAGCGTAAACTGAGGGGGGGGAGGGAAACAAAAACTTCATTTGCGTTCTGTTTCCTCGGTAGCAGAGAATGACTTAAATCACATCTGGTTTATGTCTATTTTGTCACATAGGCTTGAAAACATCTCTTCCTAAGGTGACCTCTTAAGTACAATAGAAGGAGCAGAACGGCATTAGCATATCCTGACCACTTTCAGGATGGCAACCGGTTTGCTTTACTACCAAAGGAGCTAGGCAACCACTTCCTGTGTCAGAAGGTGCCTGATTGCAGCAGTTCTACAGCTACTCCGACCATCAGACAAATATGGAAAATGGTCTGCATTCTCGGCTCCCACATTTTTTTATGCATCCTGCATGTCCAATTCACACAGCATACCATCAAGAAGTCCAGGCAAGAGCAATTTCTTGCCCAAATAGCTAGCAAACTCCATAAGGAGATTCGTCAATGCCCCATTATCCTCTTGAAGTAACTGGTGCTGCAAGAAGCAGACATGTTTCACTGTCAAGAAAAATGTAAATTCTTAAAACATTTTAAATGCCATATTTTGTAGATTTTCGGAAGTGCTGAAGATTATCTATCTAACTGAAATAGGTCTCTATATATCTAGAAAACCTAACTAGCATGACTATAAGTTTGACTATTATAAATGACTATCTATTAATCTTTATTTCCTAATTATATATTACATTTTTAAATGAACTGCACAAACACAATACTTAAACAAGAGTAGAAATATACCTATAGCAAAATTTACTTTAAATTTGTATCAATAAACCAAAATCCATACCAATGTATGCTGCGGGAGTATCTTCCAGCCAATAGTCGCTGAAGCACTAGCCCACAGTGTGGCAGGGAGCAGCACTTCCGTCAGCCAATAGCTGCTGAAATACCAGCCCACTGGGGTGTGGTATATTTCTCTTTTAAAAAGAGACACAGATCCCGGATCAGGCCTCTTGGTTCCGGTGCCTGGTCCCGGCTCCTGCTCCCGGCTCCTGCTCCAGCGACTAGGCTCCCTTCCTCACGGTTTATGGTGTATGTAAGTTTTACCCCCCAAAATAAATAACCCCTTAAAACATAACTGGTGTGGGATTGATTCGCCGATAAATGTAAAGTATTCATCTCTATAACATATCCTTTAAATGTAAACAAACATTTATAAACAATTATTTAGGGAGTTTGGGTATTGTTTTCTAGAATACTTACTGCTGATCAGAGACACTGTTATTCAGGCCTTTTATGGGGTATCCTGTGTGGTAGGTCCATCTCAGTCTGCAGTCCTGAAGCTGTCCTGGATATTGGACCTTCTGGGCCATTACATCAGGGGGTCTTACTTTATCAATCCATATTAGTCATTAAGGAATCCACAGCTTTCTATCCTCTGTGGAAATAAAAGCAGAACCTCTTTTCCAAAGGAACATATCCTTAGACCCAAATTTTGATGTCAAGATATAATTAAAATATGCATGTTGGCTTAGCTTAGCAGCCTGTACAATGAAATGTCTCTCTGTACTTAGCTCCTTCACAGTCAAAAATTTAAAGAAAACACAACAGCATAGATAATCCAGACTCTGTCTGTATATTTCATCTTTACGAGGCTTATTCTTTTTTTACTCCTTTAATCTATGACTGTCTTTACTCTGTCTCTTTAAAGACTTGCTTTTATTTTTAAACCTTTTTTTTATAACTGTCTCTACTTTTTCTTCTCTTTCCCAAGCCTACATACATTTTTTTTCAATACACTGTGTTTCATTTTGATGTCTTTTATATGTGAATCTGTCCTATTACATATTTGAAATTCTTTTCTGACAAGAAGTATTTTAAAATGGTAAACAGTGTGGTTGTAACATCCCTGATGCTGGCTCTGTCTCTTTTAGTCTTTTAATATGGTGGAGATACCTTTAGCACAGGCTCTGGGACTGCTGTGTGTTAGCTGTGTCCATCACCTCAACTCTGGGAAGTACTGTACAGCGCATGAACCCTTTTCATCTGAATAAAAGCTAAATCTGCCATGCAGCATGCTGTGGGCCTGGAAATGTCTTCATGAATGGAGGCAGAAGTCTGCCATGCTTTCCTGTCTGTGTATGCCTAGTAGACCCAGCTGTTTTTCTAGACGGGGGTGCTGATTCAAGGGCATTGTCTTAGCTACTTTTCTCCTGACTTTGAGTGGGCATACAAAGCACCTAGACCTGAAGTGGATGGTGAGCAGCAGCCCATGATGGGCACCATTTTGTAGGTGGAGACAGCTCATTCATTACCTGCCACCAAGACCCAAGTAAATCACACAGAAACTATATTGATTACAACACTGTTTGGCCAATAGCTTCGGAATGTTTTGGCTAACTTTTATATATTAAATTAACCCACTTCTATTAATCTGAGTAGCACTATGTGGCTGTGGCCTACTGTTAATGTTCTGACTGGAGTCTGGAGACTAGAGTCTTTCTCCTTCAGCAGCTACATGGCATCTCTTCTACTCCACCTACTTTTTCTCTATATCTCTGTTCAGATTTCCTGCCTGGCTTTACTCTACTAAGCCATTGGCCTTAACAGCTTCTTTAATAACCAATGGTAAAAATGTATATTCATAAAATACAGAGAGAATACCATATCATTTTCCCCAAGACCAGGAATATGGATAAGGGTTTCTATTGGGGGGGGCTTGTGGAAACTTTCTTCTTGAAAAGTAGTCATTCATCTTATCTCTAGCAAGAGGAACTTATTTTGCTTTTATTAACATAATACTGGTACCTATTTTCAAGGTCAAGACTCACTTCCTCAACTCCTCAGCTCAAGCCACATCCCAACCCATTGTCTCTTGTATCCAGTGTAATCCTATATGAAATTATACTGTATAAAAGCTGTAATCTTTTCTCAATTTAAGACTGCTGGCAGCCAATCTGTTTCACCCTCAGATCACATCCTTCTCCTTCTTCCACCACCCTCAACTCTACACATCCACTTTGGGACCTAAGCCCCCACCCCTGTCAAAGCAGGTCTTCTGAGGACCCCGAGACCAAGAATAAGGAAGAAATGCCCTTCATGATGGAAAATAGGGAATGCGTTTAATCAAGAAAAAAGGGAGATCTCATCTTTCTTTCATCCCTCCCTCAGCTCTGGGTTATGGCCTTTGTACCCCATAAATAATAATCTATATTGGCTGCATAATGACAGACCCCAACACAGGAGGTGAAAAACTGCCATAGAGAAATGGAGATAACAAACAAAAAGGTAGATGAAATGAATAAATCTCTCAAAGATACCCAAGAAAAACAAGAAAACCAAGAAAAAGCAATCAAACAAGTAAGGGAAACAGTTCAAGACTTAAAAAATGAAATGGAGGTAATGAAGAAAACACAAACCGAGGGAAGACTGGATATGGAAAATCTGGGTAAACGAATAGGAACTGCAGAGACAAGTATTACCAACAGAATACAAGAGATAGAAGAAAGAATCTCAGACACTGAAGATACTGTAGATGAAATAAACTCACTGATTAAAGAACAAAACAAATCCAACAAATTCTTAACACAAAACATCCAGGAAATCTGGGCCACCGTGAAAAGGCCAAACCTAAGAATAATAGGTGTAGAAGAAGGAGATTTACAGCTCAAAGGCCCAGAAAATATATTCACCAAAATTATTAAAGAAAACTTTCTCTTGTTATTTCTATCTGTTTAAAATTCCCATGGTTTCTCTGTGCTTTCCATCAAGTGACTGCCACCATCTTTGTTAGTGCCAACATTTCTGTGACTGCTCTGTGCAATGCACCACATGACCTTGCCATCATTTTTGTTGGAAGCAATAGCCACCATTTTGTTTGAGCTTAAGACAGGGAAGGGCCACAGACTCATGAGGTTTTGTTCAAGGCAAATGGTGCCAGTAGCTTGCTGCTAACAGGCTGACCGCACTCCAGTAGTGGCTTAGCTGCCCCCTAGATACATGACCTGCCACCAGCTACTTTTAAGTCATTAGCTATGCTTTTAAAAATTACTTTTATGCTCTGTTGCAGTTGGTGTGTTTGCATGATGGTCTAACTTGGCAGGACATGCTGAGGAATCCATTACATAAAAAGCTCTGTTCATTGTATCTCACTCCATAATAAGAAAGCAATAAATTTCAAGTATTTTAAAATGGTATGTACTTTTAAACCTGTTACAATATTCTGTATATATGATTGAATTCTGCTTTAAAATATACTCTATATAATGATAAAAATTTAAAGTTATAAAAAGCTATTTCAAGTTAAAATCTAGCCTCCAGCTTTTCCTGTAAGCTGTTCTTCACTAGCATCAGTTTTATTATTAAGCTTCTAGTGCAGACAGTTTTTTTCTTCTTTGCCTTTCACAAGTATAAGTTTTACCTGTTAAGTTAAAAACCAGTACAATCAAGCTTGGGCTCAGCTCTCCAGGCAAATTCTATACTGTAGTCAAAACTTATATTTACCTAAATAGGTTTTAAGTGCTTAGAGATCTGGAAAATATGGCATTTAAATGTTTAATTATTAGAAGACTTTTCATAACAGAGAGACAGATTGGCTCCTAGCAGCAGCATCCCGTTTACTCCAAAGAAGACAGAAGACAGATGGACACAGAATAATGTCTATCCACAATTTGCTTAATCAAGTGAAAGTGCTAATCACTGGAAAAAAACTGCCTTTCATCTAAACTCCTGAAGATCTCCAGATGTGGACGAAGGAAAATTGGAATCGATTGTCTTACTGCTCAGGACAAGGTAGGCTTTTCTTCCTACAGATCCCTAACCCACAGGATTTTCTGAAGTCTGGCAGTCCCATGCTAACCACAAAAGGGAAATACAGCCCTGAAAAACTCTGTCTTCAACAAACATGAAGGACCTTTAGGAGAAGCTCTAGGTAGCCAAATGAGTAAGTTCTCTGTCATAACTGTCAAGGACCCTGAGGAGTTGACTCTTGGAAGCCAATTGAGTAAGTTCTCTGTCATGACTGTAATAGACCCTGAGGAGTTGACTCTTGGTAGCCAATTGAGTAAGTTCTCTGTCATAACTGTCATGGACCCTGAGGAGTTGACTCTTGGAAGCCAATTGAGTAAGTTCTCTGTCATAACTGTCATGGACCCTGAGGAGTTGACTCTTGGTAGCCAATTGAGTAAGTTCTGTGTCATTTTTTAAAACAATAACTCAAGTAAAATATTATCCTTCTCAAAGATCTCTGATGCAGTTTGATAGCTGAGATGTTTTGTCAGTTTAAAAAGGATAACCTCACAGATTTCAGCATAACCTCTTACCATGTATAGTAAAAGATGTTTAAGGTATACAAATACAAATTATTAAGGTATGTACCTGCAAGTTATAAAGGTCTGAGGACAAATGCAAGTTATCAAATTTCTCTTTCTCATTATGTACCATTCATAGTTTTAGCATTATCATTATAATGTTGATAAGCTATTAATCTAACTCTGATGGAGTACCTATCACTACTGCAAGATCAAGATTTTAAATTCTCTTTGATCATTTTCTAAAGATACTTTTCGTTGTACAAAAACATCTGTCACAGTCATTCTGGCATAAATATGTTGCTGTTTATAGAATGTATGTGTCTAAAACTTATGTTTTCACAAACTTAAAGAATTCTTGTGAATTCCAGGAAGCTAAATTGAAGGATTCATCTTAAACAGGTCACCCCTCTCTCATTTCCCTGGTTCTTACACCCTCCTCCTCAATTACCAAGACCTAAATAATTTTTTTTCCTTCCTAACTGAACCTTGTCCTTCCACTCTGCCAACACCTTGCCAGGTCCAAGAGACACTGGAAAGCTCCATACCATAAATCCTGGACGGGAGTGAAGCAACCAGATACTACAGGATGTGACCAGTACCCCAGCTTTCTCAGGTTTCCCAAGACTCTCATGCCCACAAATTATCAGGACACAGTCTTGAGAACTCAATGCCATCATCCTCTTAACCTGCCATGCCTAACTCCTTGCCTTTTTATTATAAGAGAAAAATTGGAATGTTATAATTATAATTCTGCTGGCCTGCCCTGTCACTTGGTACCTTGTTCCTTTAAGAGAGAAGCTCTTCCCAACCCCAGTCTTCCCCTTCCCACTGAGACAAACTGATCTCACACCTCCTGTCTTCCTTTTCTCTCTCTGTTCATCCTTCATCTGAAGAGGCAGCCTCTGCCTCTCCCTTTCCCCTCTTCCTCTTTCCTCTCTTTCTCTGTCACGTCTATCACTGTCTTTCCTCCATAACTCCCTTACCCTATTCCCTAACCAATACCCAATAAATAAACTCTATGTCCAAGTCTTTCTGTGTGACATATCTGTCTGTCTCCCTCCCATGGTGGCCTCAGGTCACCTGCTCCATAAATCAAAACATAAAGTACTAAGCCACTGCTGTTTAACTTTCCAAAGGCATTTATAGAAGATGCCTGCTCTCTTAATATTCATTTATTTACTTATTTAGGTTTTTTAAGACAAGGTTTCTCTCTGTAGCTTTGGAGCCTATCTTGGTACTAGCTCTGTGGATGAGACTAGGCTTGAACTCATAGAGATCTGCCTGCCTCTCCTCCCAAGTTCTGAGATTAAAGGTGTGTGCTACAACCACCCAGCCAAAAATTATTTTTACACTAAAAAATGCAGGTAAATTGTTGGTTCAAAAGCATTAATAGTTAGCAAGTTGCATTAAAATATTACTTAGGATCTATAAAAAAAGGACCCTTTTTTAAAGATTTTACAATACTTCATGAATATTGCCTAAAGTTATATCTTAAAATCCTATACAGATTGCTTTGATGCTTTTGTAGATGATTCTTGAAAAGGACAAAAAGCATGTTTACACAACATTCTACATGCTACACAAAAATATTAGACCCACTCTGGATTTTACAGCTCAAAGTCTAAACTGGTTTTAATCAATCACCTTTTAGACCTTTCTCAGCCATTGGATCTTTTAACTAACTCTTCTGTTTAGTTAAATTTGGGTGATGGCTTATTGGGTGAAATAAGAAAAAAAATCAATCTTACAGTCATAATGGACAGCTTTGGAACATGTACTGGCTGGTTTTGTGTGTCAACTTGACACAAGTAAGAGGCATCAGAGGAAGGAGCCTCAGTTAAGAAATGCCTCTATGAGTTCCAGTTTTAGGTCATTTTCTCAATTAGTGATAGGGGTGAATTCCCAGTCTATGATGGGCGGTGCCATCCCAGGGCTGGTTGTCCAGGGTTCTGTAATAATGTGGGCCGAGCAAGTCAGGGGAAGCAAATCAGTAAGCAGCACCCCTTTCTGGTCTTTGCATCAGCTCCTGCCACCAGCACCCTGACCTGTTTGAGTTTCTGTTTTGGCTTTCTTCAGTGCTGAAGAGCAATATGGAAGTGTAAGCCTAATTCTCCACTTGCTTTTGGTTATTGGGTTTCACTGAAGCAATAGAAACCCCAACTAAGACAGAAGCCCAATTTAAAAATGTATCTTGAGGAAGACTGAAACTCAACATTAACTGACCACATATACAAATTAGCACAGGAAGGGCAGAGATGCACTGGGAATGGAAAGGGAACCTAACAAGAAAGAAAGAATGTTACAAAAGGATTGTAGATGGAGAAAGGATGTAATAAAATGGAACATTTGGAATGAGGTACTTGAGAATGTGGTTTTGATCTCATTTTCTCTAAAGACTGTTGATGTTTGAGCATCCTTTTCTGTCATTCTTGACTGTTTCTATATCTGCTTTGAATAGTTATCTGCTAAAATATTACTCGTGCTACTTTTAAAATTATGGAATTTTTATATTGGGGTTGTAAGAGGGTTTTGTTTATTCATTTGAGACAGGGTCTCACTATGTATTCCTGGATGATCTGAATCTACATTATAGAACAGACTGGCTTCAAACTCACAGAGGTAAGACGCTTCTGCCTTTCATGTACTGATACTGCAAGTTTGTGTCACCACACCCAACAAGTGACATTTTTTGTTTGTTTACTCTTTGTTTTAAAAGTACATCATTCTGTCAGGCGGTGGTGTATGCCTTTTATCTTAGCCCAGCACTCTGGAGGCAGAGGCAGGCAGAACTCTCTGGGAGTTTGAGGCCAGTCTGGTCTACAGAACTAGTTCCAGAACAAGTTCCAAAGCTACAGAGAAACCCTGTCTTGAAAAACAAAACAAACAAACAAAAGAACAAAAAACATTCATACTAGAACCTTATCAGATGCTGAATTTATAAATATTGTATTTCATTCTACGGTGTGTCTTTTCACTTTTTTGGCAATTTCTTATGAAGTAGAAAACATTTTAGAATTAGATGGGACAAAATTTATTGATAGCTATCTTTTTTCATTGTCTGATTATCTTGGTATACTGTCAAAGTAGTTACTGTCTAACTTATGAGCAAGGAGAGTTACATTTGTTTTGATTTTTAAAAGTGATAGTTTTAGCTATTTACATGGATATCTTATAATATATGGCAAGGGTACAACTAGCTTCCTCTTTTTATATGCTTAGTTGTCTCACACCTGGACTGAAAAGATGATTCTTTTTCCATTAAATGGTCCTGATGTACTATTTGAAAATCTCTTGGTCGTAGATGCACAGGTCCTTAATTTTATCCGACTGAGCTGTGTGTCTATTTTTATGTCAGAATAACAATATGTTGTTTATGATAGCTTTGTAGTAAGGGTTAAAATATAGAAATGAGGAGCTTCCATGTTTGTTCTTTCTGAAGACTGTTTTGACTAAACTATTTAGGATGACTTGTATTTCCATATGTATTTCAGGAGCAGTTGTGAACCTTTCTGAAAAAAAATATCATAGGGATTTTATAGCTATTGCTTAGAACATGCAGATCAGTGTAGAATGCAGTGCTACCTCACTGTGCCACCTGTCTTTATGGCTTGGATATGCAGTACCTCTCTAGCTGATGGAACTGTCTTATGACATTCTGGAAACTTAGTAAGTGGGATTTCACTGATGAAGTAGGTCATTGGGGCAGTTCCATAGAGCTATCTTGTCCCCTTCTCATTCCTTTCCCTCTTCTCATCTACAGTGAAATGATCAGCCTTGCTATACCTTCCTGCCATCATGACATCAGATATCTTGACCTAAAAAACCTTTTGTCATTTCATTTATTCTCTCAGATATTAACACTTCTTTAAATCATGAACATAAGACCTTCATCCTACTGACTTAGCTTCTCTAACATGTTTGCAGTCTCCTCTTTTCTCAGTGTAAGAGTTATAAACTTTCTTGGTTAACTTATTACCAACTCTACTTTAATGCTATTATTAATGGAGTTATTTCTTTAACTTTATATTTCTATTGTTATTTGCTAGTGTATACAAATGCAATGCAGTTTTACATAATTAAGATTGTATCCAGCAACCTTGCTAAATTAGTTTGTTATAACTAACAGTGTTTTGTATATAGCTGAGTGTCTGTGTATATGGATATAGATTCCTTTTAGAAATTTTCATGTATAGAGAAGGGCATTTTCGACTGTCTATCTGTTTTTCTTTCTGTCATCTATTCTTCCTCTCTGTCTCTGTCTCACTCCCCCCTCCTCTCTCTCTCTCTCTCTCTCTCTCTCTCTCTCTCTCTCTCTCTCTCTCTGTGTGTGTGTGTGTGTGTGTGTGTGTGTGATGGAGGTTTGAAAGAAATGGCCACCATATTAAGAGATGTGGCCTTGCTGGAGTAGGTATGAATTTTTGGAGGAAGTGTGTCACTGTGGGCAGGCATTGAGGTCTCATATGCTTGAGACTAGCCACTGTGTTTCATTCTCTTTCTCTTCCTGTGGATCCAGATGAGAACTCTCTCTGACAACATGTATGCCTGTATGCCATCATTCTTCCTGTCATGATGATAATGGGCTAAACCTCTGAACTATAAGCCACTTCCAAATTAATGTTTTACTTTATAAGAGTTGCCATGGTCATGGAGTCTCTTCACAGCAATAAGACCATAAGATAGATGTTGGTACCAGGGACTTGGTTATTGCCATTATAGGCCTGATTGAGCTTTTGTTTGGAAGAAAACAAAATGTGCACAAAATGTGCACTTTGGGAATTTGCATTATGACACTAGCTGAACATTATAGGTGGGGCTTACTGGGTCATACTAATAGGAGCATCGAAGACAAAGGTGCCGACGGTGATTTGAACTATGGGGGCCTGGCTCAAGAGATTTCAGAGGTGAATAATTAATATGTGGCCTAGACATCTTTCTTGTGATATTTTGGTGAAGAATTTTGCCCTTGTTTTTTAAAAAAAAAACTCTGCCTGAGGCTAAATTGAAGAGTTTGGAGTAATTGTATAGGTAGAAAAATTCTCAAAACAGCCTAGCATCAACTCTGTCATGTGGTTTTTACTGTTCATGCTTATGCAGATTTATAATGAAAAGGAGCAAGCTGGGCAAGAAAAAAATATAAAATGTACACATTCTGGAGCAAAGTAACACCCAGAAGTAGAATGGAGCTAAATCCTGTGTTAAGGATATAAGCTGATTAAAGAAAACTTTAAAGCTAGGTGTGGTGGTACACACCTTTAATCCACACTTAGGAGGCAGAGGCATATGGATCTTTGAGTTTAAGGCCAGTCTGGTCTATAGATAGAGTTTCAGGACAACCATACTTAGGTATTAAAGAAAACAATCAAAATCAGAAAGAACGTGAAGATGTAATTATAGGAGTGGATTGTGTTCTAGCCAGAACAGGCAGAACTTGTTGACTTCAACCACTTTGCTTTAGAGTCAAGGACAGAAGAAAGGGATTATGAAATCTCCCTTCTAGACTAAGGAGAACCACTGGCCCCATGCAAGTCCCATGGTAGTCCTTCCTAGAGACCCAGAGAGACAATTGTGAGAAGCTATGAAGGTGAAACCTGGATTGTCTTGGAGGTCCCAAAGTGTTGGAAACACCAGTGCATGGGTCACCTGATAAGGAAAGCTGCTAACAGAGTGGAACCAGTCCATGAGAAGGAAGTATATTGTAGTCAACAAAATTTGGAGACCTCACGAGTGCTTTGACGTCAGACATGGAATTGCAGTTTGGAGTTTGTCCAGCTGATTTTTGGTCTTGCTTTCATCCAGTTTTTCCTCACTATGTTACTTTTCCTTCCTTTGGGAACAATAATGTATATCCTGTGCCATTGTATGTGACCTGATTTTTTTATTTTTATTTTACAGGGTATTACAGTTAAGCAATTACCATGCCTCTCAGAAGAAATTTTGGATTTTGGAGTTTTATAGACTATAGGTGACTTTTAAAGGTGGACTTAATGAATTTCTTCATTATGATCTGGCTATGAGCTTAATGGGGCAGGAAGTGGAAAGTGGTTGTTTGGGAAAATGAGCTCACATGAGCAGACAAGAAGTGATTCTTTTAGGAGGTGTGGCTTTGCTGGAGTAAGTGTGGCTTTGTTGGAAGAATGTATCCCTGGGTGTAGTGGTCTGGATATGAATTACTGAATACTTAGCCTGTGGTGAGTGGCACTATTGGGGTATTCTTGCCTTGCTGAAGGAAGTGTGTCACTGTGGGGGGCAGGTTTTGAAGTCTCATATGCTTGTTATTCCAAGTATGAGAGACAGTTCACTTCCTGTTGCCTACAGATCAAGATGTAGAACTCTCAAGTCATTTTCTAGCACGGTGTCTACCTTCACGCTGCCATGTTTCTCACCATGATGATAATGAACCCCTGAAATTGTAAGTCAGCCCCAATTAAATGCTTTCCTTTATAAGAGCTGCCATGGTCATGGTGTCTCTTCACAGCAATAGAAACCCTAACTAAGACACTGCGGCAGATTTTAAGGTCTCATATGCTTGATCCTGGCCAGTTTGTCTCAATCTCTTCCTGCTGCCTATCAATCCAGATGTAGAACTATCAGCTACTTCTCCAGCACCATGTCTGCCTACATGCCACCTTGCTTCCTGCAACGATGGACTTAACCTCTGAACTCTAAGCTAGCCCCAATTAAATGTTGCCCTTTGTAAGAGTTGCCATGGTCACGATGCTTCTTCACAGAAAAAAAAATCTAACTAAGAAATAAGTGTGGGCTGGAGAGATGGCTCAGAGGTTAAGAGCATTGCCTGCTCTTCCAAAGGTCCTGAGTTCAATTCCCAGCAACCACATGGTGGCTCACAACCATCTGTATTGGGGCCTGGTGCCCTCTTCTGGACTGAAGAAAGAATACTGTATACATAATAAGTAAATAAATAAATATTAAAAAAAAAGAAATAAGTGTGTAATTTTACTTCTTAATCTGAGTGACTCTCATTTATTTTATTTCTTTCTTATTTATTCTTCCAAAATGTCCACCAGTGAGTTACACAGTATTGAGAACAATAGAGATCCTTATTTGGTTCATAATCTTGGAAGTAAATTTTTAGCCTTTCATAGACGAATATGATGTTAGCTGTGTGTCCCACAGATGTGCTATATCAGCCTGAAAAACTACACTCAAATCTTGGTTTTTCCCATTGTGTTTTCCTACTGTGAAGGAGTTCTAGCTTTTGTTTGTTGTGTTTCTTAGTCTATTTAATCAACTGTCTGATCTTTTGTTCTATTCTGTGAAATACAGAAAATTGATATTGATCATGTACTTGGGATAAATCCTGTTTGGTAATTAAGAGCCTTTTTATAGACAAATGAATTTAGTATTTTATGGAGGATATTTTGTACATATATATATATGTATATATATGTATATATATATATATATATATATATATCTGTAGCTCGAATATGTTGTATTATATTTGACTTGCTGTACATAAGGGTGGTATTGGCTTTATCGAATTAGTTAAGAAGTATGCTCTTCTCTTCTATGGCTATTAAAAAAGAATTTGAAAAGGGCTATAGTTGATTCTTTGTAAAATATACTCACTATATTTTGTAAGTTTTGGAAGGCTAACTAAATCTCTCTATTATTATATATTATTTAGGTTATATATTGTACATATTTCCAAAGCCTTAATGATTTTTAATTTAGTTTATTTTCTATCATTTAAGAAATTTTGTGTTTAAAATTTAAATTCATCATCTATTTATTTATTTTTTCTTGTTTTATTTTTTAATTTACATATTCATTTATTAAAAATTTCTACCTCCTCCCTGAATGTGACTGGCAATGAAGGCTGACTGAGAAGCCAAGGACAATGGCACTGGGTTTAGATTCTACTGCATGGACTGACTTTGTAGGAACCTGGTTTGTTTAGATGCTCACCTTTATAGACCTGGATGGAGGGGAGAAGACCTTGCACTTCCCATGGGGCATGGAAATCATCTATTTATTTTTGCTATTTGTTTCCATCAGGTACATAAATATTTGTAAATTATGTTGTTTTGATGAGTTGAGAAAAGGATCATATTTACATTCATAGTGATAGTTGTCGTTTTGAGATCTTATTTGCTAATATCACCAGCCCAATTTTTTTTGATTAGTGGTCACATGATACTTTTTCATTGTTTTTCTTGTACCTTATTTATGAGTGTGTATTTGGATCTGTTCACAAAAATGGTGTATAGTTGATATCTTGTCCTATTTTATTCTTTCCCCCCCCCCACAATAAAGCCACTGATAGGCACTCTATAAGAAAAATGCTTATAGCCCACAGTTTGTGGATGAAAACAAGTGACCACGGCACTACCATTTGCTTATCTTCTGCGTAGAATCTTGCATTGAATCACATCATGGCAAAGAAACCAAGGCAAGAAGCAAGTTTGTACAGGAGTCAATGTGTGGTAGAGAGGCAATTGTCAAGCTTGCTTTATCACAGCCAGCTCTTACAATAACAGTCAGATTCCATGTGAATGAGAACCCTCATCTATGGCGGAAGCTCTAGTCCCTCTTAAAGGCTTCAATATCTCTCAATATTTAGCCTAAAGAGTAAGTCACAAGGGAACAGCACAGAGCTATGACTTTGTTGTGCAGTCTAGTTGTAGATGACTTATATTTAGTGCGCTATAATTCAGCTTAATTTTTAAATTTTAACTTAATTTCTGTTTTGTACATGAGAGTGTGTGGTGTATTAATTTGTGTGGGGAGAGAGAGGGATGTTGTGTGCAGTACTTTCCTTTATCCCACAGAGACAGGGTCTCTCACTGAGCTTTGACCTGGATGGCAGTCAGTAAGCCCCAGTTACTTTCTTATCCCTGCCCCTCCATAATTCTGAAGTAACAAGGGTTCATGTGACCAGACCAGATTTTTGACACGGATGCTAGAATTTAAGCTCAGTTCTGCATACGTTCACAATCAAGCACTCTGACTTACTGAACTGTCTCCCTGATCAGTTATAGAACTGTTTTAGACAGCAAGTAAATAAAGAATTCAGAAAGTCTGTCTCAGCTATGTTTTTAAGAATATCACTGTAGTTGTTCAAAACAAATACAGTTTTCCTGCTTGTGGCAACTTTTTTTGTCCTCTGCCAAATATTAAATCAAAATTTTAGAGATATTAATAAAAATTACTTATAGTCACATTAACATAAAAATACATTTTAAGAACATTAAAGTCATAGATTAAGTCAAAATATCTTGAGAAAAAGCAAAATTATGTTATTTAGAACTCATATAAATTAAATGTGCATATCTTTTTTAATACTGTCTTTAATTTTTTGTATGAATTATGTAATGTGGAGAAGCATCAATTTTTTTTTACTAGCCTGATATAGACATCCTTAAAATCTCCATGGATATATGTATATCTATATTCTATGTTTTATATATATGATCATTTCCTTGATATCCTAATACATTAAGACATTTGTAAGTGTTCAGAGAAGTACAGATCCTCAGGAAACTTTGAGCTGTATAATAAAACTGAAAAGTTATGAGCTGGCATAAGAAATGTTATATCTGATGAAAACGTGCATCTGTCATGTTTATGTGTATTGTTTATGTAATACAAGCAAAAGTGAAGCTGAAATTGTTCCAGAAAATGATTTTATGCACTTCTTTACTAGACATTTATGCACTTCTTTACTAGACAATTTTTGATGTGTTGATATTTTCATCAATTTTTAAATAAGAGACTAGAAAATCTAATCAGAATTATTATTTGTACAAAAAGTACATTTTGTGACTTACAAATTTTAAAATGGCCCTAATTCTGTCTGTCATGACATTTTTTCCCCCTTCTAATGTAACTGAGCTTTTGGGTGGATGATTTTGTAAAGCTTTTATAGCAATTAAACATCTCTGTAGTGCATTAGAGAAAGAATGTAATCATTTATGGCTTCCCTGACCCTTAAAGATTCAACAATGGTGATGAGGTTCACAGAGATGCTGGACATATCCAATGGGATGGGTTTTACTTTCTACATCATGGAAGAATAGGATCGTTGGCTAATTACTTAACTCTCCATAGGCAAGGCAGGAAGCATATGTTAGTTACTTAAGGGTTTGATAAGATTTCATATAAACACACACACACACACACACACACACACACACAGAGCCAGAAATTTAAATGAACAGTCATATGGGAGAAAACCTATTCTACAATAATGTATAATATGTTCATGTAACCCATTTTAAAAACCATTTAGGCCAGACATGTGTCTCATATCGGTCCTCCCAAAAACTGACAGGCTGAAGTAGGTGGACTGCCATGAATTGTGGACAGCTTAGGATACATACTGAGTTCCAGGGCAGCCTGGGTTACAGAAAAAAAAAAACATATCTCAAAAAAGGAATAACAACAGCAAAAATCAGTAGTAAATACACAATTTTTAATGTGTTGATATTTTCATCAATTTTTAAATAAGAGACTAGAAAATATAATCAGAATTATTATTTGTACAAAAAGTACATTGTTTTGGAATAAATTTAGATTTTAGAGGGTCATTTAGTTTGACAAAATTGGAGGAGGTCTTAAGTTACCATATATTCCTTGTTGGAACTTACTGAGTTTGACTGTGTCCTTTGAAGGCTCATGTCTGGCAAAGTTGACTCTATTAAGAGTAGTCAGTCATTAGTTACCATCAGAGAGGTTTCTTCTAGCAGCAGAAGGGAGTCAATATGGAGACCCACAGCCCAAATATTAGGAGAAGAGTAAGCCTGGATTGGAGGTCTCCATCAGGACTGTCCCCTCTGAAACCTTCTGAAGAGTGGAAGGGGGAATTGTGGAATCCAGAGGGAACGAGGACACCCACTGGTAGAGCATGACCCTTGGAATCAACTAAGAGGCGAAAGTGGCAACTGTGAAGCCTGCATTTGTTTGTTCTAGGTCCTCTGCCTAAATGTGATCATTGTTAGCTTGGTGTTTTTGTTGTGGGACTCCTCCCAGTGGGTGTGGGGGTATCTCTGACTCTCTCTTCTTATCTAGGGATCCCTTTCCTCCTAATCCTTCACCCAGCTTTGGTATGAGTGTGTGGTTGGTCTTAGTGTGCCTGGAAGGAGTGGAGGAATGGGAATCTGCAATTGGACTGTATTAAGAAATATAAAAATAATAAAAGAGTAGTGGAGCCTTTGAAAGGGAGGGAGTAGCCAGTCAGAAGGGAGGTCACTGGGAGTATTACCCTCAGAAGGAGCCCATGGTGGTCTGTAGAGAGCTGCGTAATGCCACGCCTTAAAGATGGTGCTGGTTTCCACCTTCCACCTTCCAGATGATGAGTGCTCTTGGTAGTAAACAACTCCATATATGGCTAACGCTAAGGATCTGGCGTGCTTCCGCATTTCTGGACCTATGTGCATTCCCCACATGGCTTGCTGGG